TAACCAGGATTTTAGCGCGAGCTCACAAAAATGGTCTAACTACTGGTTAAACTATATGCATGTAACAGTCGTCACTCTAACGTATGCTCGCTCTGCACTGTGGAGCCTGCCAATTACGCTGTCGTATCTGGACTTTTGGCTACACTCCAACCATCGAATTTCTGTAGGCCTTCAAACAAAAACGGGAAACGAAAATACAGAAAAACCCCTTCTAAGAATGCTGGTGATTACTCCATACCTTCCCAACGACTGGTTCATGCCACATATGCGGCGTGTGCAATTCGTCCATGTCTTAAGGGGTGTCCAAACAGGACACTACAAAAGGCACGACTCCGACAAATCGTGAAAATGGAAGCGGACGCGCCCGCTTCGCGCCCGCTTCAATTTTCACGATTTGTCGGAGTCGTGCGTTTTGTACTGTCCTGTTTGGACACCCCTTTAGGACGTGTGACCCGGAACCGGGGCCCATCAAAAGTTTCTCAAACACGCCGAAAGCACGATCGGGCATCCCACCAATTCTATGCACTTCAACCGGTGCCGATTTCCGAACAAACAGATTCCGCAACGCCCCCCCGCACAACCGCAGCAACCAATTTAAAAAAACCTCTAACATAAAGAGAAAAAAAAAACTGAAGAAAAAAGCTTGCGGTAGGTATTTCTACAGCCCCCCTAATTTTCACACACTCTTCGCACGACCATCATCTTCCCACAAGCCCCGCTATAAATAAAAAAAAAAAGTTGAAAATGTACTAAAAATATCTAAAGTAGAACTTTCACTGCGTCGTCAAAAGGACACAAGACACCAGCCGGAATTTTCTCTTCCGCTCACGACGACCGGCTTAGCTTTTCTCTATCAAATAACACCTCCCTCTACAACACATCGTAAAAACAGCAGCAGGAACCAAAAAAAAACAACAAAGACAGCAAAACGAAAAGCCACAAGCTTCCCTCACGTGACACCTAAGGTGCCATATGTCACGAAGCCCGAATGACCAGTAGCTCCCGACGGGACTCCTGGTGAAGAAGCTAGGGCCCTCTGGGTCTAGAAGACCGGACACACAGACCAAACCAAAAAAGAGCAGCAAGACGCACAAAAAACGACTCAAAACAAGAAGACAAGAACCCGGTGAAAGTCTCGCCTCTGTCACGCTCTGGGGAGTGCTTCTCGGGCGTCACGCACGCCGGCCCTGCTAGCCAGAGGGCCACGGAGGTTCCTTCTTCCAGAAGGGTCACGGTCCGCGAAGCTTTCCCATAGCGTGACAGCGGGAGTGCGAAGACGGAGCGTTTCCGACCAGGCAGGCACACGGTGGGCAGGTGCCCGCCGTATGATCTTTTCTCGCCCCTCTCGGCTACGTAACCGCGTGCGGCGCCGGACGCGTATGGGCTGATGGTCGAGCGGCAGGTCCTCCGGGCTCGGAACGCGATGACGAGCGAGTGATGGCCGCAGACTTCCGGATAGACCAAGAACGTGCTCGGTAGTCTTGTTCAGTGTTCACAATAAATAAAACAGCCCAAGCAAGGACACAAAGACAGCTAGAAGGCACATACAAACACAGCGCTGCCTTCTAGTGTCCGTTTGAGGGCTCTTTTACTTATTTTTGTTTTTCTGATCACGTACCGACTCGCCGAACTAAACACGCGCTGCTTGACCAGTGTTTTTAATGTGTGTTTTTAGTTGTTGCATAGTTACGAGATTATGCGAAACTGTTTACCCCGGCATTGAAGAAGGCTAGGCTTAATATGATGCTTAGTGTTAGTTGTAGTAAAGCAGTAATTTGAACTAGTTGGTACTTCAACATGATAAACAGCGCACAGAGCACGAAGGAAGGAAAAAGGACAGGTAGAACGAAAGAGCGCTGCCTCCCAAATGATTTATTTTTAAAGAGGAGAAAAAAAAGCCATAGAAATGGGCCCCACGTGATAGCTGGTAAGAAAAGTAAGAGTTAATGCATGGAAGTAACGCTAGAATAGAACAATTATTCCCGAAGTCATTTGACTCCATGACGCGTTCATTGCGTTAAATTCGCAGGAATCTACAAAAATGACGTTGACAACAATGCTGATATAATGACCTCATGAATCCGCACACGCTTGACAGTGCGACATTTGAATTCGATTTGAAGGACCACTTTTAAAAGGGGCTGCTTCGCGGACGCTTACTTTAAGGGTTCAAATACCGACCAAACGTTTCCGTAATCCGAATAACGGTTATTTTGCCGCATAACTGAGACTTCAGTTCCACGGTGAACATCTCTATGTTCTCTCAAGGGAGTCCTTAATCTTTTACAGGGTGCCCCTTTTTCCTTGGCCGTTCTTGACGCCGAGCTTAAATATACGGGCAAAAATTAAGGGAGAAGAGGATACGACAGCGCGCGGGGGGACGTGGGAACACCGAGCTCTGGTTCGAATGATTAGAGGGTAGTATGTGGAGTACAAACGCGCTCGAACACCTAACATCGGACGCCGGCGTCTGGCGTTTGAGCGAGTTCGAAGTTTGAGTCCACCCACTAATCATTCCAACCAGAGCTCGGTGATCTGACGTATCCGCGCGTTATTCTCTCCCCCTCCCCATCAGTTTCGACCTGCACGAATTCCGATTTCACAACATCTCACTCAAATAACGCGTTGTATCTTAGGAGATTTTACACTGCAAACAAGACCTTAGTGACAACAGCTACAAATGCACCCGCTGATAGTTAATTGTATGAACGACGCAGCAAGATTCGACGTGAAAAAAGTTTTTCCCGACTGAACCACCGGCAGGGCTGACTTGGTACGACCTCTGTGATATTGGACGGCGCCATGAATTCTGCCCCGCAACAAGGAAGTTTGAAACATGCAGTAATTCGAAGATAATTCGGCTGTGTTCTAAACTCAACAGAACACAATAGTAAAAGACCTGCCTAAGGGTCAAGGCCCTCCGAATTCAAAAAGAAGAAGCGGTAGATGATGTCGTCCCCGTGTTCTCATAGCCAGAAAAGAAGGGAACTCGCAACGCCAAGACAACCCCATCTGACAACATATGATGCCACTGCGAGGCGCCACTGACGTAAACAAACTTCTCGTCGTTCGATCACTCATGCTCCGAGATTCCCCCGAAGGGTTAGACCTCGGTCCGCCCGAAATACCCCCCACAATCCCAATCTCCAACCACACCAGCACCCAACAGAAGACCGACGGGTGCGAACGGGGGCGACCAATGGACCACGAAGAACAGAGTTCCAGACTCGGAACAAGCCAAAGAGAGCAAAGAAACCGGGTATCAACGTATGCTCCGCGGGGGCATTCTGTCTACGAGACCGGCCGCCTCGCATGCTTCAGCGGTCCCGAACAAAAAAACGACTCGTCAACTCGGCCTTTGGCAGAAGAAAGAAGAACACACTTTGTAGGTAAGGCGGCAGCGGCGGCGGAGGCGGCGGCAAGATACCAGTGCGCCAGTCACCGACTGACAGCGATCCGCCGGGGGAAGAAGACAGGGTGCTCCGGATGGCTCGCGAACTGGATAGATGGAGGCCGGCTTCTGCTAGGATCGATGAAGCGAAGCATCCATGGTGAAATGCCTCTGGGCGTCTCGCAGCGGATCCGTCGCTGTCTTCTTCTGCTTGTTGTTGGGGGTTGTGGCGAGGGCACGCGGGCGAATTAGCGTGTCCAATGGGACTTCTCGGCGGCTTTGCCGGAAGGGTGATGCGAAGGATTTTGGTGGAGGGGAAAAGGAGGCAGAAAGAGGGACAGGACCGGGTCATCAGACTGAAGGGGGCGCCGATGGATCAAAGGGCGATAAACCAGGGCATTCGGGCCCCCAAGTTCAACGGCTACCATGGACATGCAGTGGTTGTTTCTGCGGGGTATTCGAGGACCGGCTTCTTCAAGACGTTCTGAAGGATTCTTCAGTAGAGTATAAAGTAAATGCGAGTGTGTGGAACACACAGATTACCCGGTGACACGTCTCATGCAACCTTCCAAATTATGACATCGCCCCAATCATTACGAAAAACGAATTAGTTGTATGAAAAATTACACAATGGAAGTGCCTTAAAGCACTCTGCGGTGTGTCTGCTTTTCAAGTAAAATCTGGTCAGGGCCGTACGATTCGAACCTCGGGTATTAAGGCAGTTTTACCATATAGCGTAGCGCTATGAAACGGCATTGCTACCGGAAGCTCGCGCTGTAACTTCTTCAGCGCACGCCAGTAGCCGTACGGTAGATGCAGCGGCAACGTTCTGCTAAAACAGCCCTTTTCACATGCATACCGCAGTACATTGATGATTATACACGATCGCATTAAGGCCATCCAAGGTCCGCACAAATAAAAACCGCCAGTGTGAGGATAGACCACGATCCTGGGTTTTGCAACCCTAGCTTTCGCTTTCTTTCCATGTACTCCGGCTGTTTCTGTTTTTTTTTTTTTTTATGTGTGTAATTATAGTTGTAAGATTCGGCCAAAAGAACCGGTCATTACGCCTGACACTCACAAACCAACTAGCGACAAACACAATAAAGCAATGTGCGAGGTTTTGTGCACACAAGCATGTTTTCAAGTACAGCTACATTGCACGCACTGTTCCGGTTTGGAACAACGTTCCTGAAGATTTTGTAAACACAGACTCCATCGGCACGTTTACTTCATGCGTATGAATTTTCAACAAAGTCATGTGTTAGAAGAAATTGCATCTTAGCCGTCCACAATCTACGGACTTCCGCCATTCGCTTCATACATTGTTTTAATGTTGCCTTACTAAACAGCCCTCAAGCCTTTTTTTTTTTTTTTACTATACTCGTATTGCGAGTTTCGTGCCGGTTTGATTTAATGGTATTTTTGTGGGTAGTATGTATGCTTTTCTTTTCTGTTATTGCCTTGTTTGTTACCTTTATTACGACACACTGTGTGATCGTAGTTGTCTTTTCCTCTGTGTAAGCGGCCAAAAGGTCAAACAATAAATTAAAAAAAAGATAAAACTGAAAATGAGGTTGAACTAGCAAAACGAGAACGGCGAACTTACCGAATCTACTTGGCACCTCTTAACGGGTCTCCGTCCAGGTTAGGGCCTTGAGGTTCTAAAAATAAAAATGAAAAAGTATAAAACGAATGGCTCACAGTAAAACGAATGAATGCTATAGTTACTGACAATTTTAGAAACGCGCCACACACAAAAAAAAGTCAGACAACCGCACTTTCAAATATTTGGCTTATACGTTTAAAATAAGCACATATCTCATTCATTTTGATATTGAAAAATAAGACTTGCGTTTACTATATTTTGGCGGTGCGATAGGGAAGCTAAGGTACATTTTCTCGGAGAAATTGTGTAGTTGGCCTAGTTTTGAAGATAACTTGTTAAGGTATCTGATGCGTGTCATTCTCATAGATTGGATACAGTGTTTGCGGGTGGATTGCTTAAGATTGATATATTCTTCGAAAACCCGATGCGTTCCAGATGTCATTTCAGTGACGTTAAAACATTCCAGTGGCTGACAACTCAAGAAAGCCGGGCGTAACGTCTTTTAAGCTTTCAATAACTTCACCAAACTATTAAAAAAAAAAGCTATGAGAACACTTAAGCTTCGGCTTCAAAGGGGCCGCAAAAGGAAAACCTACCGACCTCATTTTAGTTTTACTATATTCATTAAAGCCCAAAGGTGCTGCTTCCTAAGTTTCGCGGTCAACTATTGCGACTGGAATTTACAAACCGCGTTTAAAATTCGTATGTTTTGGAGCTTTTGAAACGATCATACGACACTGTGTGGGAGCCAGAGGCAACAAAACGTCATCATAAGTGATATACAAAGTGCAACGGATATTTAACCTTGTTTAATGTTCAAACAACACATTGTAAAATGATAAAAACAAACAATAATGTACTGACGCTCTTGTAGTATCTACAGGATACTGCATCACCTGATTGCAATTCAGTTTCGGTTTCAATTACATCCGGGTCTTCTGCCACCTGGTAACCATAGCGACGGTGGCTCTGTCGGCTGTTCGGTTGCTTGTCGTTTCTCGGATACACATCCTCTGTTCACAGAAGGTTTTGGTTGTGGTTCGTGTTTATCGCCGTTCGCGTCTGTTCTGTGCGCGTGTCAGCACCCGCCATGCCAACCACATGCTACTGCGAGATGATTATTCAAGTGCGGCAAAGCCTCGGCCAAGATTTTCGGAAGAGGCTAGTGTTTGATCTTACAGACAGGATTTAGTCCAATTTCAAGGTGTTTGTATTGATAGTCGTTATTGGCACAGACCATCTCTAATAGCTTCCTGTCGTAACGCCTTGTTTATTTCTTACCCTATGTCGTCTTTTATCAAAGCTCAACAGCACAGTGTCGGTGAAGTCCCACTGACCGTTCTTTTTCCTCACCAGCACGATGGGCGTTGCCGATTAACAATGTGTAACTGGCAGCAGGGGTTCTGGAAACACCAAAGCTGAGATTAAATATTCTCTTGTGCGTGTATGTAGGACATCTTGCGCTGAGAATCTTGGCCTTGCATGTCCCTAAAAGGAGCTCGTTTCAGCGCGGGTGATCCTCATACATGGCTCGTACCGCATGTACACTGCCCACCACGTATATATGAAAGACACAAACTGTGTCTATCATGGTGACGGCCGAGCAAGGGTTTCGTGACGTTGCACTCAACGGTCCATTTGGAACTGCTACGTGAATAAGCCAATGTTAAACTTCCTTTAGGATGGTGATGCCATAAGAAAACAAGCAATTCGTGTGTTCTGTATACGTTTGATGAGTACTGTATCTGGTAGTTTAAAAGCATACCTTATTTGCATCAATCCTAGTGCAAGGACCTTTCCTGAAACCAGATACTGCATGCCTACTTCCCAATGCTGCAGATATAGATGGGACGTAGAGAAAAAATATTTTAATAATGTTCATCTCTAAACTTTTTGTTTACCTGAGCTTTGCAAGCCCAGAAAGGAATCTTCAGTCACCTTTACTGTGGTTTTTATGTTCAGGTAACTGCTTTAGGTTTCTTACTGGTCCAAATAGTAGCTATATAATAGTCTAAATATAAACAGCTCCTAGCGCGATTTTGTAACATAAAAGGATATGTCCTCATAAAGAGCAACCTCAAAAAATGTGTTCAACTTCTGATTTTATTCTGTACGACGTTCAGCTGTGTAAGAAATTAAAACTTCACACCTACAGCGATTAATGCGACTCCCTCGTGCCGATTTCTACTGACACAAATCGTTTGTGTTTTCAAGTGGCTAATAAACACATGGATCTGTGAGCAATGAATCATTAATTTGTAAATTAGTGATAGATAGATAGGTGCTTGTTTCGGCTCATAAAAGCCGCGGCGCCGCAGAAAGGCAACCCATACCGAGAAAGCCCGCGGCGCCCCGTCCAACGATGAAGAGATGATATTCTACAGATTAATACAAAAATGGTGATGATGGTTTAAATGGAGCTTGTGGACGAGAGTGAGGGGTTGATGTTGTGGTTGAAGAGGGTGAAAATCTTTAGGCCTAGCAGCGGTCTTTGCGACGGTGGTCTTCACGGGACCGCCGTGGGCTGCGGAGTCTGACCGGTCTCGAGCGCCTGGTGAGGGCTCTCTGTTTACCCGGCTTGAAGACGAGTCGCCCGGATTTTCGGCAACGCAGGGTGTCCAAGACATCTGTGGTGGGGCTCCAGGGGTTGGTACCGGTGTTGGCCGGGCGGCGGTCTTCGCGAGAGCGGGCCCTGAAGTCCCCCAACTTGTGTCGAGCTTGTAGCCGAGCAGCCCGAGCACCCTGTCGATCGAAGACATGGTGTGTGCCACTGGTCCGGCTGGCCCTCTGACCATGGAAGAAAACAGGTTCGACGCCCAGCTGGCTCCATCTTCTTTCGTCTTTGGGCAATTGTCCTACAAAGTCGAGAGCCCGCACAAGCCGCGCCTTTGCCTTCGATGTCGTCACCGCTGCTCTCGTTGTCGGATGACCAACGGTCTCTTGTTTGACGTAATGGGGTGTTGGCGTGCGGCTCGAAACCCAGAAGCCGACCGCTCTGTAAAGGCTGAATTCCATGGAGCGAATCATGCGACGAATAAGTAACGAACATCGCCCACAGCGCAGCACGCTCGCTTTGCGCGCGACATAGCAGCCACTGGGCCGATTCCATGCGCCGAGCAAACGCCGCCGGGCTAAATTCGCCGATTATTCGCAGCATATTTGTCCCATGGAGTTCAGCCTTTACAATTATATGAGCACTATATCAGATGTCAGACGTCGTCCGGACCGTGTTCCAAAATTTACTTAATCTTACTCCAGGGTAAGGGTTTTGTAACCCTGGTGTTCTAAAACCTAGCCGCGTCCAGCGTTTTCCAATCTGTGTTGTCTCGTGACACGACCCGCCGGAGTAACTCGGATTCATTTCGGTATAGACGCTTTCAGCGCGCGCCAGATTGAGCCGCCATAGCCGACCTCCCTTTGTCTTACCGAGATGCCGAGACACTGAAGCGGGCGTTGACGAGTCTCCACAGAGGCCTATGCTGGGGAGAAGGTCACAGTAACACCTAAAATGTCGAATACCTGTCCTGCTGGGGTAATGATAAAGTTGAGCGAACGGAATAAGAGGGAACAGAAACTGAAGGTCGGTTATGGCGGCGTTCATGCACAGCTGCCTAAAAGCGTCTATAAGATTTAGAACACAGCCCCGTTGAACTGCGTGCGTGTCGTCATTACGGCGCGCGCTGTTAAAGGGGTATCTTGCGCTCTGGCTGCGCCCATTGAGGCTTACGTCACCATCTTGCGAAGACAACAGAAATTTCCTGTTGGTTACTTATCTTGACGTGTTTATAAAACTGAGAGAAAAGCTCCCCGAAAAACTGAAATCATAGTTTTTACGCTAAAAATGAATCCGGACGATCAAAAGAATGAACGTGGGTTATGTAATAAAGGACAAGGACTCCAAATCGACATATAGCTCAGAATTTCGAAAAAAAGTTTCAGGACCTCTTTAGGAGTGGAATGCGAGTGCGTTATCGGGCCCCGTACGCATTGCCTTCTCATTCGCTAAATTTCTAATTTTAGATAAATTTCTTAACTTCACTACACAAAAATATTACTTAAATTTACTCTTCACTTCTACCATACCAAGTGAAGCCGTAACATCCTACATGTATCTTGGCATTAACTTCAAATATAACTTGTCATGGGAGCCTCATATACACCACATATCTGCGAAAGCAAGCAGAAGTTTGGGATGTTTTAAAGCGCCATCTCTATAATGCTACGCAAGAAACAAAACCCATCGCATATAATTATCTCATTCGTCCTCAACTCGAGTACGCATCCATTGTCTGGAATCCCCATTATTTGTATCTAGAAGAAAAACTGGAAGCTGTATAGAACCGGGCTACGCGTTTTATTCTCCACAATTATCAGCCCACAAGTGTTACCGCAATCAAAGCTAAATTTAACATCCCTCTTTCAAAGCACGGAAGAAAAGTATCACGTCTTACCATCCTGCACAAAATGTGTTATGATCTTCCTTTAAAAACAATATGATTACTGCCCATCGACCACTCACATGTCCCCCGCACCGACCATCCACTCAAAATTCAACTGACTACACCTAGGACTAACCTATTCAAATTTTCTCCCTTACAATTGGCCGTTACTGACTAGGAACAACCTTTTGGAACCTATTGTGAGCATCCCAGAATCTAATAACTTCAGATCTGCCATCTCTCGTCAACATCTATCGTTCTGTTTACACGTGTTCTCAAACAGACCCAAACATTCTAGTCTTTTTTGTTTGTTGCGTTACTTCGATTGTTTAGATCCCCCTCCGCCCCGTTATGTAAAGCCCTTTGTCGGAATTTAAGGGTAAAATAAATTAAATTAAATTAAATCCACCAAGCAAGCCTGTCTTGTGTGGCCTACTCAGGGGAGGGTCTGGCTCGCAACTCGGTCGGGGGCTCGAATCCCGCCTAAAACTCTTTAAATTTTTCTATGAGGCAAATGAATTACTTTATAAAAAGAAATCATTTGAGACATGCGGCGGCGACCTTTAGGTCCGTTTCACGTGAGCGTTGTGGGTTGTTTGAAGTCATGACGTCATGA